TGACTTTAAAAAAAAAAATTAGTAGACAGTTACTAGATTTGCTGTAAAAATGGAAATATTCTACATTCTAGTCACTTCTAGTGAATACTGGATTGAAGTGAAGAGGGTTTTTCTAAATGATCTTGTAGCAGAGAGGAATTAAATGAGAGAAAGATGTGGAGTGTGGTCCAGTAAGTGACATTTATCCTTTCTGAAGTGGAGAGAAAAGAAACATATAAAGATTTTTATTAATTATGTTCACAAAGCCATCTCTTCTGATCCAAACTGAAGTTAATAAAAAGTACAATTGGAAATGTTATGAACAATTTGACAGTATGGAAATGCAGAACTGTTTCATCGACCTGAAGAGCACATTCATGATGATTCGTGAATAAGGCATCAGGAAAATAATGAGTTCCCCTGAGTAATTAAATAAGTGGAAAGTGCAAACTGGTAACAGGTGGTGAAGTATAGTCTGCAGATATACGTAAAATACCCAGAGATAGTTAGCCAATTGTGCATAATCAAAACACCCAGAATATGCATTCTTGATTTTTAAACTCCCACTTAGAAATGCGGTAAAGTGAGCCTGTTCAAGATTGATAATGAACACACTTGACTGTTCATTGATAACCAGGCCTCATTACTACACTGCTTGCCAACTCTCTGACCGAAACAGCAAGTAGGTTCACAGCTAGGCAATGTAGTATTGAGGGTCAAGTTTAACTATTTGATTTGCTAATGAAACACAATATACAGCATCCCTTTAAGTAATGCAATGTCAATGACTGTGCAGGATCATGGCAAGGTGAAGCCACATAAAGTCAAAGTTTTGCTTACTTCAGCAGGCTCAGTAAATTTTTTTTAGCCGGAAAATGAGACCAAGGATATTATAAGATGTAGCTCTGCTGCTCTTAAAATTGGTTGCAGAAAGCTGCCACGAGGGATGCAGAAGAATGGTCACTAGCTGAAGATGTGGATTGTTCTTTGGACGCGAGGTTGTGGTTGAATCTTGGGAAAGGAGAAGGTTAAGGTTTTCTAAAGATGCTCAAAAGAATCCCTGGTTCTTCCTATAGACTTGACAACATTTACAACGTACCTTCACTGGCTATCTTTTGGCCTTGCTGCTATTTCCAGGTTCAGCCTAGGAGAGAATCATCAATGCAGCTTTGCTCAGATCTCAAGTTAAGTCCAAATTTTGTCATTTGAGGAGGTTGGGAGGGAGAAAAAGAATAGATTATTCTCAGAATCGTTCTGTAAAAGGTTTGAACTTTTTTTCCGTTTTCAATCAAGTTTATGGTTTTTCAAATGTTTACTTTACATATCTAATCTGCTGGAGCTCTTGAGAAATTGAAAGTCAGGATTGATGGGACCAATGCTTGGGAATCAATTACATGGGAATAATGATCTTCCATTATTGTGATATTTGATATAGGCTAAGATAAATTTGACTGTTATTAAGACTTGTTACTGAGAAGCAGAAAATGTCAAAGGAGGTGTGTGACAATGCATACCATATTCAAGAAACTAAATAGTTTGTCAGTGAATCTTCCATTGTATCACTCATGGTGAGGAGTAGAGTTTTTGACAGAGATAAAGGCGATTGCTTTGGTGCTCCTAATGGTAAGCTCGAGGAAGATTTTTTTTGGATGCTGGGATGCTGTTTACCTGACTACAGTCTCTTAAACTAGCAGGTATAGTCTCAGGATAAGGGATCAACATTCAGAACTTAGGTAAAGAGAGATTTCTTCACTCAAAGGGTTGCGAATATTGGGAAGTCTCTGCTTCTAAGATATGTAGATGGTCAATCTTTTATTTCAGCCTTTGATATAATCAACAGATTCTTAGACTGTAAGGGAGTTGGGGACATGGAGATCGAGCAGAAACGTAGCATTAAAATCATAGTTCAACCATGATGTTGTTGAATGGCAAAGCAGAACCCAGGGGCCATTTGCCCTATTCCTGCTCCAATTTCTTATGTTCTAAAATCAGTATTCTTCAATTTTGGAAGAAATCAGATCAACCAATGTGGGTATTTATTATACACACACTCAGTGTGTACAGTATCTACAAGTAAAATGCTCTGTTTCACACTAATCCGGGGGTTTAGCATGTTATTATTTGTAATGTTGTTAAACAGAAGTGAACATATTGATTTGAAATCAATGACTCGCAAACAGATTTCTGTGCTGTATTTATGCCATGATAAGTGTAGGTATGGCATGACATCCTAGTGCAACATTTCCTACGTTACAGCGGTGATTACACTTTAAAAGCACTTCATCGATGGCAAAGTAACTTGACATGTCCTGATGTTGTGAAATCCAAATCTTTCTTTTTATAGATTATTATAGCTGGACAGCAGGTTTGGGACGCACAGAGGCACAAACAGCGTAGGTTCAATTCCCAAACCAGCTGAGGGCTACCGTGAAGGGCTGTCCTTCATAACGTCTCCCCTCGCCTAAGGCATGGTGATCCCCCAAGTTAAACCACCACCAGTTCTCTCTCTGTAATGAAGGGGCATCCCTAGAGTCTGATAAGACTATGATGACTTTACTTTTTTATACCAGCACAGAATCCCACAATACACAAGTATCATAAAAACAAATGTTTTTATTAATGGAAAAATAGAAATGAAGGTCCTATCTCATCTTTGTCTACCTCATTCAGATAATTAATATTTATACCAGTGAAGGCCACAAGATTTCTGGCTTGTATGTTAATGGTAATCTTAATTCTTAGGCACTGTTCATTTTATTATTAAAAGATTTCCAAGGGAATTATTCCTACTTTATCAGTCATTTTCTTACCTATACCCTGTCATGAGTTCCCTATGTTAGCATATTATTCCACCAGTGCTGTCACATTTTAACATCAGTCTAAGAATTAAAATGTTGTGAGCATGACAGGTGTGCTTCGAGTAGGCTACAAAAGCAAAGCTGAGATCACAACCTATCCTAATCTTTACTTAATGTTCAAATATATTCATTGCCGGTTGGATCGCTAAAAGATTATCCTGACTAATCTTCCTCTTCCTTAGTGTTGAGGCATTTGGCTGTCATACATACTGGGAACGGTGTATAATTTAGCAACTCACCAGATAATCTGAGCCACCAGCAGATCTTAATTTTCTTTAAAATTCCATTCTTGATTTGCAGCAATGATATGATCTGGATGCTAATAACAATAAAAGCATTTTATTATCAAAAAGTCCAAAGTAAAACAGATTAGAGGTATGTAGAGAATGGCCAGTGTTAAATTACTTTCCGGATTAGAGAAGGACATTGTATTGTACGTAAGTATGTCTTTTCTATTGCTTCTGGCTAGAAGAAAACAATGAATAATTGGAAGATACTAAAATATCAGCATAGCTTTTTCCTTGGAAAAAAAGGTTTGCCGTCTCCTCTCTAGGCATTTTCCTTGCAGCATGGCCTCTGCTTGATTCAGCAACAATAACTAACGTTTGTATGAAAGGTTATCATGACCTGAAATGACTTTTACATATAAATAATCATACACAAGTTGGCCATTTAATCACTCAGGTCTGCTCACTTATTGAAAAAGACCTTGGTTAATCTGATTAAGAAGTCAAATTCACCATTCCACCATCCCTGATAACCTTTTTAACAAGCATTTATCTATCTATGCCTTAAAAATATTCATGAATCTGCTTCCACCACTTTTTCAGAAAGGAAGTTCCATCACACTCAATGCTCTGAGAGAAAAGAAATCATCTCCTAATTTTTAAACCACTAGATCTTGATTTTCCTTGGCAGAAGAAGAAACATCCTATCCACTTTTATCTTGTCATAACCCCTCAGGATCTTCATATGTTTAAGTTGTGTATCACTCTAAACACTCTGGCAGATACAAGCCTACCCTGTCCAACTTTTAACAATAAGACATTCCAGGTGTTAGTTTAATAAACATTCTCTGAACTGCTTTCAATGGAAATACATCCTTCTCTAAATGGGGTGATAATACTGTACACAATACTCTAGATGTGGTCTCATGACCTGTATAACAAAGCATGAACTCCCTACTTTTATATTCAATTCCTCTTGCAACAAATGATAACATTTTATTAGCTTTCCTCATTATTTTCTGTATCTACTTAGCAACCCTTTGAGATTCTTGCACTAGGACATTCAGATCCCGCTTCATGTCAGAGCGGTGCAAACTCTCACTATATAGATAATGAGTTGTTAAATTCTTCATGCCAAAATGGACAATTTCACATTTTCCCACAATCTACTTCATTTGTACACCTTTGCTGACTCCCTTAACCTATCTATGGGTGGAACCTATAGGGGCTTGAATGGTGTGGGTTGTGGCAAGATGTGTTGCAGAATTGGAGGAGTCCAGTGAGGCCCATCTCAACATCAGGATCAACTTGCACCATCTTTTATGTTTTTGACAAGCAGCCTGACAAATTTCTTGCTGGACAGCAGTGAATTGGCCATTATTATTGCTTATTAAGTGCCTTGTTGATGACCCAACTTACGTCATTAATATTCAACTTCTTATTTTACTGAATAAGTTAGATCTCAAGTAAACTCGCCATGGTAACCAGAGTTGGTACCTGGCAGATTCAGCTCACCATCTGCTCAAAATGACCTTTGTATTGGACACCAAGTACCAGTATGTTAGGATACACTCTATGGGCACCATCTGCATGTGTCCAGTGTCCATGAACACTGGCATCAGATATATGCCAGACTCAAAGAATTTTGAGTAGAAAAAGGATTAGAAATTAATTTTTTTGAAGAGGAGGAGAAAGGAGAGGAACTTGCAAACGTTTTCCCAGATTTTAATGATTACTATTTCTGGACCAATCTCCATTCCCTTGTGATTTTTTTTTTTGGATTTTGAGTTTTACCTTTTTCAATATCCGGACTTGTGATTTTCCACTGTATGATAATGGATAGCTTACAGAACCTTTTTGTGTAATTTAATACATTAGCATCTGGTGGTAAAACACTGTTTCAAGCACACTGTTAAAAAAATGTTTCTTTTTCTAGATGATGATGGTGTAAGAAAGCTTGCGAATAAGACAGAGTCGGCACTGTTGACAAAAGACACCATTTCCACAAAGAAAGCTGGAATGGAACCAATAAACACCTTACAAGGACATAAAGTTAATGTCCAGAGCAAAGCAAAACCTCACCGCTTTACTGCTCCTAGGACAAAACAGAAACATTCATTCAAAACTGCAAAGATTAGAAATTACAATATCCGTGATTAAGTACTGTCATCAGCAAGAATCTGAAACAAGAGATCCAAGTGTTGCAATTGCAAGACAGAATATCTTTTTCTCACACTGAACTTCTTAAACTATTCACTCTGGAGTACCAAAAAACAACTACAGACTTCAGGAATCTTAGTGGTTTTCTTTCAACAACGGAACAGGAACTTTGTCAAACTTTACCTTCAGCAGTCAAGAATATTGTGCCATTCTTACTACAGTCCAGTATCTTTTTCTCAAAGGAGTCTTCATATCCGTACTCCTGATAACCAAAACAATTGTTTTACATGAAATGGGAAGTGGGACAATCAGGTCTTTAATTGGCTCTGACAGTTCTGTCACCTTTTTGCTGGGTTGTCAATCTTTTGGTACTATTCACAGGACTTATTAAGATGTTTCAGAGATAGTAGGAACTGCAGATGCTGGAGAATCTGAGATAACAAGGTGTAGAGCTGGATGAACACAGCAGGCCAAGCAGCAT